ATAGGTACCTATATAATATGAGTTGATATCTCTTTATATAATGGTTTAGTTATAAATTATAATCAACGTAGGTATTACATTGTACATTTGTACTTTCTATAGTTTTTCCAGGATTGGAAATTATTGTTAGAAACTTGTTACTAGAAGGCACATAGTATTAAAATGGTGTATAGTACTGGTATATAATTTTATCACTCGATTTTTTAATTTTGAATACAATATTAATATGTTATCAAACATTATATAAGTATATAATTTATAACATGATTACTATGTTGATATTTCCTCACGAAAAACAAAAGTAACATATTATAGGTATCATTATAATGCTGCTTTTGAACAAATTTAATGATGCAGTCCAAGTGACATGATAAGTGGTACCTATTTATGCATTATATATTATAGTCTACCAATTGTATAATACGCATTGAAAAATATGAAAATGAATATTGTTTCAGAGATGCGTTTGAATATAGTATTGTCAATTGTTTGATTTGACGTTAAAACCAACGTAGGATTTCGTAATAATAATAATAATAATAATATAAAAATAAGCAAGTAATTAAAATTTAAAACACCGATATTACATTAGCATCCTATGAAGTTGACTTTCGAGCACATTACGGTTCATAGAATGTTTTTAGGTAGGTACCTTCTAGCCAATATTATATTATTTTATTTACTTTTCGGAACTCAATAATTGATTGCAAGTAAACAGATGACGTTTTTATTATTCAAAATAGGTAGCCACACATCAATTAATATGTTAATGAAGATTCTGTAGTAAGAACTAAGAACATACAAGTGAAATGTTTGATCTAGTCGACAGTTGTATAATGTGTTTACCTATATACTATACCTATTATCGAATAAAGCGGACTCGTTATTCCCACCTGAATTCTAGTGAGTTAAAGTCGTTCAATATATATATTATTATGCTGACATGCCGTAATTATCATGACTTTTTAAGCGTTACGTTTTATTTCAACAATTTTTTTTTATAATATGTAAGCTTTACATATTATTATATATATTACATATACTCAGTAAAAGTCATAATTTATATGATTATGCTGATAGCTGATGGTATATTTTACTATAGGATCAAAATGCCTGCGTTTTATTTATTATTACATCTACAGTACCTATACGTATATACGAGTTTGTAAATATTATAATTTATCACTCATTAAAATTATAAATGAAATAATATCATAATATAATATTGATTAATGTTGTGCACTTGTGTTATGTCATTATTGACCGGTGGTTATTTCGGGATAGAGGGACTGAAAATTATACCTAGTAGTGACCTTAAGGATATCATTTTCCAGGACAATATTATTGTTATTTTTTTTTCTAAATATCGTCGATAATGGCCATTAAAGTTTAAATCACAAGCATAATATTATTACCTACATAGTTTAAATTATAAACTATTATGTTAATTACAATGCTTACAATGTATACCGGCTTGTGATTTCTTGTGATTTAGTGACTGATTGAGAGATTCGGACAGGAATACAGGATATTATAAATCTTATGTCTTCCCGCCTATCCTTATCGTAGCCCGCAGGTTATACAGTTAATACAAGTTGGACTGTAAGTTTGTCCTAGGCTGATACCACACCTGCATACTATGATGAGTTCTTTGATTCTCTCCTGATAATAATTGTGTGAGTAATGAGTATTACAGATTACTTAAGGATTTTGGACTAAATGATTGTGGATATTTTGTTTGGCTTTAAATATTTTAACAAGAAAATTACCTATAATTAAATGCATCAGGAAAGTTTATTACCTAAGTAGGTACCTACATTAATATCATGATAGTAAACTGTAGCTACATTTAATAATTAGGTAGGTAAATAGGTAATATAACATGGGATTTCAAACATTAATACTGTTATGGAGTCTAAAACATTGTTTATAGACTTTATAGTGTAGACATATTAATATATAGTATAATAATATTACACTCATTTTACACGGTTTTATATGCAAACAACTTCGAGTGAATTAAAATGTACATCTAGTAGGGATGACTATAAGTTGTATACAGTAATACAGTATACTTGTATGTGATATTTTGGAAAATATTATAATTCAACCGATCTTATAACCGAATGACTAATAGAAAAGTAAATTATTGATAGTAGGTAGTATAATTAGTATACTTATTATAAATTGTCTCAACTCTTAAGAAATATTTGCTAACACATATTTTGTGCTCTGAATTGTTTTCCGTACAAATTGAATACATAGGTAAGTACATAATAATGATAATACATAATAAGCTGAAAATAAATAAGTACTTATCCAATTTAATACAATTTAAAACCTACTATAGTACTATACGTAAGTATATTACATCAGACTCATCAGAGTGAGTTTCCTATTTTTTTTAGATGCTAAGCAAAGCGATGAATGTATTGATTTTACAATGAGTGTTTTTTTTTATTTTTTATTTCTTTGTCATCACCTTTTAGGACTTTTGACTCAATGTTTATATTCGAATTTTCTATACACCCTCAAATTTTCAAAAAATATTGACTTATTTTGAGCTGTTTACGGACATTTTCAGTTTCCAACTTTTTTAGTTTTTTATTCTATCAATATCAATGATATTGTATTTGTTGGGTAATAAAGCTTGAACATTTAATAGAAGGCTCCTAATGTATTGTTACAATGATGTTTGAAAAATATCAAAAATCCATAATCACTATTTTTTTTTTATAAGCATTTAAAGTTAGTCTGCATAAAATTAAGCTACCTCTTTTTTAAAAAAAAAACTGTCCACAAGCAAGTCAAATTTAATTTTCACGAGAGTTTGAAGTTCATATTATTACAACATAGTATTTTCACTCGATTTCTCATGTAATGATTTTCTTGCTTTGTTGTAATTTAAAAATAAAAATTTTATTGTAAGTCAAGACCATAACTAGATTGAATTATGGCAGTAGTTAAAATTGTAGTTGTATACAGCTTATGAGAACAATCCAGTGAAGAATTTCGATTATTTAAAACCATAAAATATTTCGCCTTGTTCATGTTGTACTCATTGTAATAATTTTTGTAATTAATTAAATTAAATTACGTACCTACTTACATAATTTTAGTTCAAAATTCAATGTTTATTGTATAATATGGCGTTTCCCACCCTGGGATATATATTACATGACCATTTTTTTTTTATTATTTATTTTATTTTATATACCTATTATTGTTATGTACCTATGGGAAAATATTTAAGATTTAACTTGCAAGGATATTTAGTCAATTAATTCATATTGCAGAATTATTATGTAGGTACTTATAACTAGACTAACCCTTAATTTGTATAATTTTACACTAATGATGTGAAAAAAAAAACAAAATTGTCCTTGTAGAGTAGGCAAGTAAACTTGTATAGATAACGTTCTGATTAATTTAAATATGAGGTAGTTTAGTATATAGTATTTATTTAACAAAAACTTGTACAGGGTTCAGAGATCGAACTTCCCAACTCTTAGATAGGATAAGCTATTTGTGTGTAAGATTATGGGGCAGCCGCGACACTGCGACAGGTCTAATGAGTAATGGCACAAATCGCCACTGACAATAAGTTAGGTGTACCTATAAGCGTGGAATTAGAAATAATCTTGACTACCTATTCTACTTATAAACTATAAGAGTGCATGTCACTACATATTACCTATATTATTGGTTATTACAACTAGTAAGACACCAATAACACTTTACCGATAAAATATTTATGTATTATGGACTTATATGGTTACAATTAATACGTTATTCGACTGTTACAAACCTATTACGAAAAAAGTAAAAACACATAGTTTCGATTACGGTAAACCAATTATATTTTATATACAAGTTTATACCTAGGTATATAATAATATGTATACAATAATAGTCAATACGTACCTAATAGGTTTGTACCTACTTTATTATTACTTAAGTAATACCTACTTTGCATGAATGAGGACGAAATACACTATAAACTATGAATAATAAAGTAAAAAGTATAAATCAATGTGATATATTTGAGATTGCTTTATATTCAAAAGTTTTATTTATTTTAAGGGGGTGGGTGGTGAGCTGACTGATTTTATTTTTTACTTATTTTGGGAGCACGAGTGCACGACGTTAAAAGGTTGAAAAACGCCGCTGGGCCATTGTATACATTTTAAAATAACGACTGCACAACATTTTTTGGAATTTTTTTCTTCACCTATAGGTACCTACAAGGAGACCAAAATATGAGAGATATTTTCTTCATTCACATCCGATCATTTTCACACTTTCATGGGTAAGCTTTCCGAGTATCATATTTAAGTCTATTGCATAATAATATTATATTGATATACATACGTCACGTGTACACCAGTACACTGCCAATTTAATATGGCCGGTACATAGGAATGAACCCAGAAGACGTTACCAACATTTCTTTTCATCTCAAGACATTTCTCACCCGTACATAATAATGTTCGAGTTACTCGCGGCCAATTGGTACAATATATTAATACGGGTACCATATAATATGGTTCGTGTGCGCTGCAGGTATTAACCACTAACCAGCCAACGATATACCTGTATATCATGGTAGGTATCCGCAGCTGATGCTGGCAGCTCATAGTGATCGTCTACGGCACGACCGAGTGGGACTATTATAAACAATCGGCTCTGTGCGTTTTGTTTTCGTCCGATTAACCCAATCGCCCCGTCGTGAGAACTACACAGTGTAATAATATTCCGTATGCACTGCAGGCGGCTTTCACTTTCCTCAGCATTTTTCAGAGTTCGTGAGCAAAACGTAACTGGTTTTTAGTGCCGGGATTATGCAATGTTTCAGTAGATAATATGCTGGTCTAGGCCGGGTCGGAGATCGTGTGGTGCTCTCTTAACCGATGCGGTGATACGGCTCCTAAGCCCTAAGACTCCCGAGACGCAGTGATCCGCTGAAACGCAAACTGGACGGCCGTTCATAAGGTGCAAACATGAAGTTCGTATCTGTATGCCTCGTGTTGATGGTCGCTGTTCTGCACAGAGGTAAGACAACCCGTAAGTGATCAATAATATAAATACCTACGTTTGTATTAAGAGATATTATTTTTATTTCCACAATTATTTATTATATTACGGGTATTTAAGTGAAATTCCTCCGAAAATAAATACAATTGCAGCAAGCTACAAAAACTTCAGACGATAAAATATATGTTAATAATTAAATATCAAAATCATACAACAGAAGTAAAAAAAAAAACAAATTTAAATATTGACTAAATAATGACTAAATAAGCCGACAAGCGAATTGGTTTTCGTACTAATTTTCATCGTCTTACGATTATATCAGATAGCCTTGTAGATATCGTTTGATTTTTAATCAAAAATTTGCCTTGTAATTTTATTCGGTACTAATAATTTAGGACATCATTCATCTGTAGGAATAATAACTCTGCGAGTTCTCGCAGTTTACAGATCAATTTTAACCTTTTAAAAACACAATTTATACATTTTTTTTTAAAAACAAAATCAATTTGTATCGTTTATTTGGATAATTTTGTTCAAATATTTCATTGATTTGTTCGGTAGGTAATGTTTTTCTTTTTTAATACATACTATTGTTGCATCAAGAGGTTACCTAAAAACAAAACAATTTAAATAATTTTGTTTGGTTCTAATTGATTACTTGTTAACTTTGAGACTTGTTATTTTTATTAGGTTTTAACCATAACAAGTTATTAGGTATATAAAGGTTTTTTTGTTAATATTTTAACCAATAAATGTTGATTGTTTGATTGCTATAATATTTATTGTAGGAATATTAGTATGCTAAACCATTGGCCTTAATTATGAAATACATGTTAAATACATGGGCTTATATTATATTTGGGACATTATTAACCTAAATGCAAGCATCATTTTTCCAAATTTATGAAAAAAGATTAAAATTATGAAGATTATTTGATTTATATTTCAGTAGAAAAAATTATAGTGTACCAATTTTGACAAGGGTTTTCCCAATATTTACAACAATGTTTAATAAAAAGTATGAAAACTGGGCTAATCGACAATACGTTAAGTTATATAGAGTTCCTAGTAGATTAATATTATAAAATATGTACTAAACATAAACAATCTGAAAATGAATGCTATTGTATTTTAAAAGTTGAGTTATTATAGCAATGGCATATATTTAAAAAAAAAAATAATGATGACATAGGTACTTTCACGTTATTTTTTAAGCTGTGAAGTTATTTCAAATATTTAAATCTTAATGATTATTCTGTAGGAGGTTTTTGCAAAAGTCGTCATTTTTATTTCATCTATTAAGAACAATAAGAAAATACATTTGAAATTTTGAATTTTGAATTATTTAACTGTAATATAAATTATTTTTAAAATGTATTTAATTAAAACAATATTTTATATTTGAGTACTTGAAGTATTTGGTAGATATCTCATAATTTATGTGTAATTTTTTGAAATTATGTCTAAAATTATTGAACACTTGTCATTTTGAAGAAGGTAGTTTAATAGTTCCATCTACATCCAAAGTCCAAATTTCAAACGGTATGTATTCCGTTAAAATGCTTAAAACATTTTATTTTCCAGGAACATAATACTATATTAAATTGTGAAATTCAATGTTTTTACTCATTATCTAACAGAAACACAATTCGAAATACACCTATTACTTCCCAATATAATAGATAGGCTTTAAACAATAATTAATTTACTAGAGCACAATAAGTAATAAGCAGGGTTCGGGACTTATAGCACTAAAAAGCACTAAAATATGCGCTTATATATGACCCAATAAACTTAAAAATATGCACTAAAAATGAAAATAATATGCACTAAAAAATTAAAAAAAAAATTAAAAATCATTAACAAAAAAGATTTATTTGATATTATATGTATTAATAAATAGGTATATATAATGTATTAATTTTTTTATATTTAAAAAAATTAAAAAATTAAAAAATAAAAAAATTTGTAATTTAAATCTTAGTGCCTTTGTGATTGCATGAACTATTAGATGTTTTCGAACATTTTCGAACTGGAAGGCTCTTCTATTATCGGCTAGAATACACTTATATGCCGAAAATGAACGTTCCAAGTCGACGGAAGTAATGGGAGCATACTTGAAAAATAACAGATCATTACATGTTAGATCTTCTGCTATTGAACGAAGATCCATAGACTCTCCTCCGGTGATAATATTACATATATTTGTTTGTTAAACCATAACTCAGATAACTACATGGTTTTCGATTTGTTGAGTAGGTATTTATAAATCAAGTGCACGTACTACATTTTTGTGACAGATAGCTACACAAATAGTATTACTACAAAACAAATTTTCGCAATTAATCGTTCAACATTTTAATTAATACATTTTGAACAATTATATTAACCATCAATCATTAAAAATCGTCGAATAAGCAAAAAATATGCAAAAACCTTTAAAATATGCAAAAACCCCCAAAATATGCAAAAATATGCAAAATAAAATTTCATATTTTAATTCTCTGTACTACAAAACGTATTTGTAGATCACTCTGCTATGTTTTACATCACCTATGATGGATATGCAAATGCTATAAGTCCCGAACCCTGGTAATAAGTAATAACAAGCAGTCTTGTAAAGTACTTGAACAAAATTAATCAAATACTTTTTAAGTACTCAAATACGTATTCTAAATACATTTAAAAAAAGTACTATTTTAAATACTTTTTTCGTCTTACTTTATTTACAGGGACGTTAAATTTAAATAAAATCACACAAATTTGAAATTGTACAACATTTTTATTTATATACTAAGTATCCATTTAATTGAATATTTGAATATATGTACCATGTAGTCCGTCGATTTCCTAATAAAATTGGAAATACCTTTACTCGAATTAGGTATATAATATAAAACATAACGATAGTAGATAATTAATATATTATATTATATTTTTTAATATTTAAAAACTAGTTAGAGTTATATAAAAAATTAATTCAGTTTACTAAATATGATTCGATTCATCTATATAAGATGTCAAGATGACCTTACTAAGGTCATTAGGCCAAAGTAAAAATTAAAACATATTTAAAAAGAAAAAAGTATTTGAAAGTATTTGAAAGTTTCTGTAAATGCTTTTTAAAAGTATTTGTTTTTGTACTTAAATACTTTTTTTTCAAGTATTCAGATAAGGTATTTTAAACTTTTGAAAATAAGTATCTGTATCTGTACTTGAATACTTTTTTAAAGTATCTTTTACAAGACTGATAATGGAATCACTCGGTACTAATTTATTTTTCCGTTATAAAGGAGTTTTCGTTGTAACTTGTTGGGCGACTAAGATATACTGGGCTGTTGTTTCGAATTTTGAATTAAATAGAATTAATAGTATTTTTTTGTGGGGTTTTAATCAACGTTTCTGTATGCAAAATAAAATACATGGGCATTTAAAGAAATACAATTTAGCAGAAAGCACCCTTAGCTTACTTAAACACTGTATCGAACCCGGAAATGTGTGTAATAGAAATGCATGGCACAGCAATAGTAAACCAATACATTTTTTTAATAGGTACCTACCACAATATAATGCTACAGTTTATCAAGTAGGTACCTGCAGGCTGTAAGTCAATAACACTAATTACTGCAATGATATTCTATAATAATAATGATTTGGCAAACCATAGTAGTAATTAGCATAATATGTCCATAGTAGGTATCTGGTGTTTTTTTTTTTTTAATGGTTTCGTTTTTATCGTTGGAACGAAAAAATAATGAATTATTAATTGATACATAATATAATATTATTATGTATCTTTCTACTTCGAAAGTTGTTCCTGACATAATATTTTGCTCGCAAGAAGATATTACGAAACACGAGTATAAATGCATACGATGAAAATATAGGTATACGCGATAAATAAGCCGAAAACAAAAACAAAAAAATGAACGCGTAAAAAATAATATCATCGACGACAAATAATGGGCGGGGGACACCTGTGAGAAAACTTTTCATTGTGACGTACGATAACAACAATATAATGAACTATATAATAATTTATACGTTTCTAAAACGCTTGCGTCAGAGACCAAATACAGTGTGCTATAGCCGTGTACACTGTGCAGCAGAGTATCGCATTATCCAAACCACATCACCGCGGTTGTGTGTACGTTGGTATAATAATACTTATATACATCGTTAAAAACAAATGGTCCGACCACTCGACCCACAACACAAACTCGGTCGCCGAGGAAAATCGAAACGACTTCGCGAGGCGCACGCGCGCGCTCGTCTTCTGACAATGAGCTCTTCCGACTTGCACTAGTCTGGCGAAAACATGAAAAAGCTCAGACTGACGACGAGGTAAGAGGAGCAGTGACGTGTACACGATGATAACTATATACTACTAAAATGACGGGTCAAGTATATGCTCGAGTGATACTTGAGGTGTACGGCGATTATCACCGTATAATATATATAAACACCGACCGCGGTGTAAACAACGACCATATAATAATATAAGGTCGGACGGTGGAAATACTACGAAATCCGAAACGGGTGGGTACGAAATTAGTTTGTTTTGACTTTTGGCCGTTTCTGGAGGGGCAATGTGGGGGGGGGAGGAGCGGCTCTATTCTGCGAAAAACGATATATCACACGTGCAGCAGCAGGAAGAGGCAGAGGAGAGGGGCCGTCGTGTATTCTCTATATTATTTAGTATTTACCCTGTCCGACTGTGAGCGAGATCGATAAAGTGAATAATATAAAAACCGTATTTAATCGGAAACTGGGTCGGGTCGGGTTTAGAACCAGAGTTGCGCGACATGACACTATAATATATTATTACGCGTATACCTAATAGTCAGTGTGTCATTGTCACATGATTAGTTTCGCGTGTAAAAAAATTTTCGCGACGGTAGAGGATAGTCTAAATGCGTGTACGAAAAAAAAAAAAACTGGTTCCAAAAAATCATTACGGTTAATTGAACCCTATTGCAAAACCGCGTTGGATAACTATACGCTCGAAATTCACATAATAATTAAAACGTGATTTCGTTTCCCTTGAAAAATATGACTTCCACCTACCGTACATAGATATATTATTATAATTTCATAAAATACCTAGCTGGTATATTAAAAATCGTATTTCAAAAGCGCGTGAGGTTAAGTATGATATTTTATCAGTGAAATAATGTTCATTAATATTAATAGGTAACGTAAATACGCGTGTGCACTGTGCACGGGGAATGAACGAACATTTTCGCTGAAAATCGAAAGGGTTACATTTCTTTTTAGCAGAAGTCAGAAATCGTTTATTTTCGATACCTTTGATCGAAGTTGGAACGGTTTCAACAATTTTATTTCCCAAACACCTTTTTGTATCATTGGTCATCAATAAGTAGTTACGGCTTAATATTATATTATTATTTAATTACCTTTGCGTAAATTGACTTTGGTTATTATGTTTTGAAAACTACTTCTAGTGAGATACCTAATTGGGTAGATGATTAATTTTCGGAAATAAATTGAATTATAAAAATTAAAAGTAGGTACCTACCTGCTATTATTATTACTATTATAATCACATAAAAGTACGAAAAAAAATCTTATTTCCAACCAATTCATTTTCTTCCATTAGTTTTAATTTTTATAGATTTGTAACATCTATTTAAAGATATTACTTTCTTAATATAATATATATTTGGCAAATAATTATTTAACCGAGAATATAAAAAAAATTAATGCGTTTTCGCTCTTAGTCATTTACATAGAGGAATTTTTCTCGAAGTGGGCGATAGCACCCCTATGTGTGAACAGAATACATTTTAGGTGTCTTTGAAAAGGACTAGAGGAGCTTTAGGTGATTAAAAAAAGCGAAAAAATATGTTCTTCTTATACTTAAAATTAAAATTAAATACCTACTACATGTTCTCATAATTTTACTTAGGTACGTCTGTTTTAATTGTGTATACTAAATTAGTTAATAATATTATATGTAATAGCGAAAAGAGTAAAGCGTCTTAAGTTCCAACATGGCTTACCTATATTATATTATTATATTATTAATTATTATTTATTATAATAACTATGATATTATGATATAATATATTATTATATTTTTATTGCTTATAACTATTATAATCAATAGAATTTTAATTCACTCAGCCTATGAAGAAGTTAGTATTACATTTTCCAGTATTTTGACCCAGCATAAAATTTGTTATCAACATAAAAAAAATAATTTAAGTCTGAGTACTTAAGAAATTTTACTGTAATAAAAATAAAAATATAATAAATAAATAACATATTTTATAGAAGAAAATTGAAAATGTTACAAATATTATCTTTGAAGGTGTTTTCTGGTAAAAAATTGGATCTAGTTAGTACTTTGTGGGATCAATAGTGAACAACTCACCGTACAACTACTTTTCTTAATCGAGAAAAACTAAAATAAATTATGAAAAAAAGGGAATATTTACGTAACACCAGTTTTTAATAAAACCGATTTTATTATTTTGTTGCGATTAAAAAATAATAACTTTAGATATAAAAAAGAAATAATAAATAAAAAGAATAATTATTAAATTGTCATCGAATATTTAAATATACTAATATTTTTGAATTTAGTATTTTCCAGACATAGTACAATTTCCAAAATATTTTGACTATTATTTAGCTTTTTACTACTACGACATATTTTACTTTTATTTTTCATCTATGCATTTCGATGATAATGTTTAAAAATGTAATAGAAGGTTCCACATAAGTTGTACTTAAAAATATTTAAAAACATCAAAAATACATAGTTTTAACGTATGTAAATATTAAAATAAAAAAATAAAATAAAAATTACGAAAACTTGCAAATTATTTTATAAAAAAAATGCTTGCAATTTTCAGTTTTAGTTAAGGTTTAAAAATGTAAAACTTACTGAATGATAAGGGACACTAGACACCTTTTGTACAGCAGAGCGAGTTCCCGGTTTTTATCATAAATGTATATTAATGAGTTTTATTATAAACTAATATTGGTCTTTAGGTGTGTTATCAGAATCAACAGAAAACAATTACGATGAAAAAGAAGCTACGTTAGAAAGTTTATCGAGTGTTTCTAAAAGGCAAACAAATTTCCAAAATGATAACCTCAACCAACAACAAGTAAAATATTTCGTATAAAAAGTAGACAAACATCTAACATCCAATTGGATAAATGTTCTTATTTTTCTTTAGATACCACAAGAATACTTCGATTATATTCAACAGGCAAATTATGATGGAAATTTAGTACCGGAACAACAGCAGTTCAGACAACAGAATGTACAACAACAGTTCGGACAGCAAAATGTACAACAATTTGGACAACAAAATGTACAACAACAGTTTAGACAACAAAATGTACAACAACAGTTTGGACAGCAAAATTTACAACAAGATTTCGTACAAGGGTAATTTTTTTTATACAAAATTATCAATACCGATGAAAATATTATGTCATTTTATTTTTAGATTACCATCAGATGCATTTCCTCCGACGACAACGACGACAAGATCGCCATTCACTGCTGAACAAGTTCGACTTCAAGAAGAATATGCGAGAAGAACACTAGTAGAACAGCAGACAGCGTTAACTAGACCCCGTCAAAGGCCTTTAGCCCAACCACTTCCAACTCAGTTTCAAATCCAACCTTCACCGATCCCCGAACAACAACAGCCACAACCACTGCAATTTATAGATCAAAATGGTCAAGTACGTCAACAAAACTTCGGGCAGCGGCAACAAAACTTTGCTCCTCGACAACAAGATTTAGTGTCACCACAACAAACCGTTTTCCCAATTTCAAGTGATGAACCGTTTTCATACGCTCAAGTCCAATTTGGTTCAGTGGCCAAACAAGAGGAAGCAGTTGTAAGCCGACCGAAAGGTCAAAGATCTGTCTCGAGGCCCAGTACAAACTACGCAATAGAACCTGCCACCCAACAAACAGTAGACTACCCAGCCGTGACTAAGGTGAATCCTTTACAGGTTAGTAGTCGTCAACTTCAAAACGTGGTTTACATACAGCCCAACGGTCAGATGTACAAAGGGGTCGAAGATACCGAGCCAGTAGTACTGATTCCGCGTAAGAATCACCATTACCAGACGATATCAGCGGTAACTTCCGGGCCCACGACTAGCGCTTCTTCTTTTACTTCGTCAACTACTACTGCAGGTCCGGTCGAAGAAGAGCAAGTGATAGTGATTCCCCGTCCGAAGAAACCTAATCAAAGGTCCAGACAGGAAAGCCGAAAATCGAGCAGGGTACAACAACAGGCTGTGACAACTGAAAGACCTCAGCAGCAACAAGACCAACAACTGCAGCAGTCATCCGAAGTGGAGCCGGACAATTTCCTCACGTCACTTCTATCTAGATTCCAGCAGACACAACCAGAGACGACAGTCGCCACTTTGCCAAAGGTGAGAGGCAGCCAGAGGCCGAAAAGCGGTAACCGTTCTGGAACATCCAAGTACTTGCCGGACAGAAGTCAGTTGCAGCTATTGCAATTTCCGCATGAGCTCAAGGCGTTAAGCAGTGCTGAACTCAAAGTGTTGGAAGAAACCAGCGCTCAGATAGCTGCTGCAAATGACAAATCCGTTGGACAAAAACAGCTCCTAAGAAAAACTCCGGTTACTAGTACCGTACCACCTTCACTGCCATCAAACGTAAGACTCAATGAACAACTGATCCTTGGGAATAGACCAGTTCCCATGCCCGTCGAACTTAACGAACAACAGCGTCAGTTCCTGGCAGCTCAAGGTATCCGTCACTTGTACCGGGTGGATTACGATCAATCCGGAAATGAGTTACCACTGACTTATGTATTAGCATTGGATAACCGGCCCAAACTAGCAGAGTCGAAACAGAAACTCAGAACCTCCCCTGCATAAAATGGCAAAATTACAAAAAGTGCCTATTTATAAATTAAATGTGTTTAAAATGTATCATTATTTTTTTTTTGTATATAATAGTTGATGTAAATTGTATATACGGCAATTACCCGTTTCGGCCATAATCTAAAAAGTCTGTTTCCACCATCGCCCATTTCTGCAAATGTAAAAAATGGTTTGATTCCCGTTTCTGCCAGTTTACCTGTTATATGATCAAAATATTGTAAAATAACTAAAAAAAAGAAAATGTATACTCCATTTTATTTAAATTTAACTTAAGTCATACAGACTGTGTAAAATTATTTTAAGTTGGAATTTAATTTTTAAATATAGGTACCTTAAAAATAATCATATTATTATTTTTTTAATATAATTCTTAACATGATATTATATAAACTACAAGTGTTTAAATGAAAATGCAAAATGTATTCCAAAAATATGGAATAAAAGTATAATAATACTACCAGAGCAGATATTTTGGCGGAAATGAGAATCAAACCTTTTTAAAACTGGCGGAAACAGTAATTTTAAATGTTGGCGGAAACTGCACATGCCTGAATAATTATACACGTCCCTCATTATTATTATTATTATTATTTTAATTATTAATTTGTATTTTTGTGAATTATATCTTTTTTCATTTGCAACATTTTGACTTAATTGAAATACAACTATGATAACTATTTTTAAGAAAGTGTGCCTATCTTTAAAAAACGTGATTTATAAAATACAGCATTGAAGAATGAACATAATATCTATTATTTAGGGAGACGAGGTGGTCGAGCGGTCTAACGCGTCGGCTGCGGCGCTGCCGGTCGAGGTTTCGATTCTCGACCACCGGGCGACATTTTTCTCCGGGCAAGTCACGGTGTCCGGAGAACAAGTGCCGCCATCCCCCACCTCGAGGCATGGCAGAAACCTACGGGTTCCCCATTCGAAATTCTGCCAAAAAATACACCCACGTGTAACACACCTACCGTTCCAAAACCTACAGTACCACACCCCTCCCAATGGCCTAAGTTGGCGCGGGATAATTAATGAAAAAAAATAATTATATATATATATATTATAACAACACATTCACACATTTGAGGTAATTGAAAATTAATTTTATATAGTAGATAACATATTATAATTAAGTAGGTAGTTATGAATAACTGTATTAGAAAATATTATTGCTGTACAAATCTCGGTCATATTTTGAAAACTATTTAAATTATCTACCTATATTACAGCTGAGAGAGTGATAAAAATATTGTAATTTTCAAGTAAAACCTATTGTCGTACACAATCATCCTATTCGAAACACGATTTCATGATAAATTATTAAAAATAATTGTGTTGTAATATTCTTGAAGTTCGGAATAATTAATAATTCAAAATCATAAATACATTTGTATACACATATCTTATAATAATAATATTATAATTTTATCTATTGGTAGGTGACAAAAAAAATCGTTTAATAAGTTTAACTACATCAGATATTAAATCTAATACTTTGCTTGATTGCTACATTCTACAAGCTAAAAATTATACACGACCGACATGTATTATGCTTAGGTACAAATAGTATAACAATTACTTGGCCTGGTGTGTTGCAGTGGTTGCCCTCAGTCACATAACGGATTCTGAGTGCAAGCAAGTGTCTCTAGTTCCCGGATGGGTGACCTCCCGGGTTTTAATGAAAAATCCTCGCCACATATACGCGTGTTCAAACCAACCGCCCCCATGAGTAAAAAACCAATCCAAAAATAACCTTCACCCAATGGCCTATGTTGCTGCAAGTTAATAAATAAGTAAAAAACAATTGTAAAATGCAGTTCCACAGTGAATTAAAAATAAATGACTATGGAAAACAATGGTAGTTATAGTTTATGGTTTGGCCATGAGTTATGATATTAATATTTACTTATACCATTTCTTTCAACAATAAGTTAGGTTGACATACGTCAGTGTAACTTTATTTAATAAAAAAAAATATACATATAAGTTTTCTTATAGTGAGTTTTCCTCAAAATTCATACGACAAATAAATATTTTACTCGAATATTGGTATAACAATATTAGGATTTGAGTTTATAAATTATACTTTTTTGAAATTGAATAATTTAAATTTAAACGAAGCTATGTGAAACTTAAAAAAATTTCACTAAAAATGTTATACCTACCTATGAAGATCGCCTATAATCAATATTCAACTATTTAGAGAGATATAGTATGTAATCGGTTCGATCCCGGCCACGGGCGGCATTTTTCTTCGGACAAGTCAGGGAGTCCGGAGAGAGATGCCGCCAAGGGTGAGCAACTTGAAATTCTCCCAAAACCTAAAAACGTGTTTCAACCCCCCCCCCCCCCCACCACAATAAAACAACAAAAACAGCTAATGACCATAGTTGAATGTTTTGACTTTTGAACATTAAAAATAAAGGAAATGATGTAGTAATTTTGATAAATTAATTATATAATACATTTGATTATGTAATAATATCTTATTATTAGAAAATACTAATTTGTCAAGAATATAAGAATATTAATAACTAATAACAATCGTATTTAGTAATAAAAAATATGGCTCTAAGAAATTTTTTTATTGAACCTTAGATTCTATTTTACCAGTCTTACCACTTTATTGGTAAACGTACCGATATTTTTTTTACGTAAATTCTCTCTCTGGTAATTACATTATATTTATTTACAGAAAAATTTGTTTGACCCACAATAATCTGTCTTTTTTTTTAGTAAGTACCTATTTAAATAATACAATTTATAAAAAATTATTCTTTTTTCAATATTTTAAGCCTTACCAGCAACATTAAAATACACGATTTAAGAATATAATTAAAACGACTCCTGAATGTTAGATAACAAAGTATACATGAAAACGTAGGTTGTAATTAGTTAAAGGGGTAAACAATGAAAATATATGATAATATTATCTACATAACAATAGGGAGTATGTCAATATGTACAGGAACTAAAATAATTAAAGCTTTCGTAAACCATTGTAGAATTATTAAAATATTATAATTCGTTATACCTTTATAATTTGTAAATTATGTTTTTTTCAAAGTATTGTACATATTATTATTATACTAATTTTATACGATCCACTTTATCGTGCAAGCTTTCGTACAACTTCATTGTATCTTTTATTGAGAGAAGTAAAAGGTAGATCGTCATCATTGTTGAGAAGATAAAATATACTTTTTACCGCTGCCTTTGCTTTATTATATTACCTTAGAGCCGTATAACAAAATATTCTAAGGTTAGATTGTTAAATTACAGTTTTAAAATAATGAAAATATTGATGATGAGTATAAAAATAAACTAATATAAAATATTTTATGTAAAATACATTTTTACTTAAAGATTTGATTAAACTACCGTTGAATTTAGTTTGATGGGTAATAATATAAAACTTACAGCTATTCAAATATAAATAATTAAAGTAGTAGAGTTGGCTTTATTGTTATTAGTTGAATACAATTTACCTCTTTATTAGGTTATTATGTAAATTGATATATTTTGGTACATCAATTTAAATATAAAAATGTGTTAAGGCTACACCCGTTGGGTTGTATCTGACTTACTTTTACGTTATTAAGACTACATTTTTCCCTGTTATTTTAGATTTTGAGTGGAGTGATGAATAAAATTTATTTTACAATGATGTGTTTGAAACGATGATTTTTTTTTTGTGTTTGTCGTATACACAAGATACAAAATTGAAAAAATGCATCGATTTTCCACTTCAGGATTTTTTCTGGTAGTAAAGTGAATGTTGTCGCTTCCTTTGAGAGGTCAAAATTACAAATTCTCAGCACTTTTCTAAATAGGTGATTGAGAAAAAAAAACTAGGGAAAAATTGAACTCAATACACAAAATCAGTTTTTCGCAAAATCAATTTTTTGTAATTTAATAACGAATATCCATATAGATACTTGACATTTTCTTATAAATATTTATATTAGCATTTCCTATATATGGTATAATATTTTAAAATATTTCGACTATCTTTGAACTATTAATTTGAAATTTTTATAAATTTTTTTAGTGTTTTTAAATAATTGATGAAAAAATTATTTGCTCTATCAAGAAGCTTAAACATTTAATACAAGGTTTCTTATAAGTTGTTATTACTGGAATTGAAAAAAAAATTGAGCCTAATTCAAATAATTTTAATGGGCGCCTGGGTTTTAAATTTTATAAAGAAATTGATATTCATTCGTAAAATAATGATTTCTCATCAAACGATTTTCTTACACCCCATTCCACGGTAAGTATAATAAAAAAAAGATGGGTAAGTAGATGTCACTCTGCTGTACAGTAGGTTACAAGTGAGTCACTGTAATGGGTGGTGTTAAATTTGAATTCAATGATATAATATCATTGTATAAGAAAAGCGATTCTGAGCGAAAACGGTATAAGTATATTTGATGATATTATTTTGAATAAAGTTATTTATATAATATAACCTGTTTACGTGAAACCTTGTTTTAAATTTTTGATCTTTAGCTATAAAAGTTGAACATTATATACATTTTTAACTAAAAATAATTATTAAGTTTTAAATTTGATACATTTTGTCAAAATTCAAACTTTAAATGCTTATAAAAAAAAATTTTGCCTTTGTATATTCAATGTTTTTCAGCTGCTATTGTAACAATTTATCAGAAGCCTTGCATTGAATTTTCACGCTTTTTTAACCAACAAATAAAATTGTATTGATATTTATAGAAAAAAAAAACTAAAAAAAATGGAAACTGAAAATATCCGTAAACAGCTCAAAATAAGTCAAAATATTTGGAAAATGTTATGGTGTATAAAAAATGCTAATATAAATATTCAGTCAAAGTTGCATATACCTACGATAATTTGTTTAAGAGTTGAAAACAGATTTTGCCTAAAAATCCCCTTTTTTCTTTAATTTTTTTTTTGTTATTAACTGTGCTTTTGAAAACTACAGTGAAATTTTTACTTTTGACTCCCCAAAGTAC